GAAGCCTCTGAGGAGTTTTCCGGCTTCAGCTGTCGCCATCTGATTAGCTGGCTCTGATTGGTTAAGGCACCTTGTCTCCACCCTCTTCTGATGACCACGGACAAATCTGATTGGCTGAGAGGGAGCTCCATGCCGACAGGTCGTACTTTGGGCGGATCCATGTGCAGGTTGCAGTGTGGATGGACAGGACAGCCTCTGAGGCTCCGCAGACTCCCTCCTTCACCCAACTCTGGTAAGAGCTTTCATTTACTGTGTTAAATAACAGATTCTCACTTTGACGTTCAGGTTATGGTAACTGCAGCGTTTCTAGATGGCGTTTACCTCCCATTTCTGTGTAGAAAGGTTAGTCTGTGTGTCACTGGTTGCACTTTGACCCAAGTTTGGCAGCATTCCCATACAGTTTTTTTTATGGATATGAATGTTGGTCCATTATAGAAGCTTAGTGTTACCCTGCTCTGTAGCAACAAGTTAAACACACCAATAAAGCATAGTTTTGATCATTGTCCTTCATTTTGAACTATTTTCATGTTGATTTTAAAGGGAAGTTAAAGAATTTTGAGTCTTTTTCTTTCTTTATTGTCATTCCACTATTATTATCATTCACTTTAATGTATGCATCTTAACTGGTGTCCACTATCTGTGTCAATATCCTAAACAGGAGGAGAAAAATGGGAGCCAAGAAAGCCCCGAAATACCGACTGTCACACGACACAGAAAGAGAGTTTGGAGGAACTCTGGGTAAGCCAAAGTCGCGAAGTTTAAAACATTTGAATCTGTGATGGGAGAGTCAAATGTAAACAAAATAAAAGAAAAAGACACTGTAGGACCGACTGTGTAGGATACTTTAGGGTGTCCTAATACTTTCCTCTGTCTTTTTGTTGATGTGTTGCATTTAATAAGTAAAGTAAGGTTAATTTTTGGTTTTAAGTGGATAGGTGTAACTATTAGGGGACGAGATGTCCTAACTTTTAGGAAACACTTTCTCGTTGATATGAGTAAAATAAAGTTAATTTCTGCTGTCTTGGTCCAATTAACCCACTTTCTTTTTTAGAGATAAGCAAGATTAGACATTATTATTAGTAAGAAGCAAACACATATGACATATGAAAGGAAATCACGAAACTCACACACTTCAAAATACGTGCAACAGAAGCAGTATTATTTATAATGACGTGATTCACTGATGAACATATTTACGCTAATTTGTGGAATATGATTATTTGAGATTCTGTTAACAGATGTTTTCTTACAGAAATTTAGTTTAGTTTCTAGTTGACTCAGGACATTTTTCCCTAAATGACAAAATCTGCCAGATTTTTTAAAAATATCAATATTAAGGAATTACTGGCATAAAAGAAGCTGTTAAATGTCACACTGAAAAGTTATTTCTAAGTTAGTTCTGTGTTATTTTAAGTGTACTAAGACATTTACACTAGAAATGAGGCAAAAATACTTGGTAGGATTTTGTGTTAATGCAGTTCAATAGTGCATTTATAGAACGGGGCTCATCTGATACTGAAAGGCGTCTATCCACAGTAGTTTGATTTCCTGATCATGACATTATTCTAAATGTCTTTCTTGCCTGGTATTATTTGCCCCATTTATTTTATGCAGGAACCTTCAATATCTTCGGTCTTTTTGCTGCCATCAGTCAAAGTTCTTCACCTGCCTCACCGTCCCATCGTCTCATCTCCTCCTCTGCTCTTTCAGGCGCCGTGTGCATCCCCGTTTTCCTCCCACTGACTGTTCTCTTCCTGATCTGTGTGAGCCAATCAGCGGAGGCCAGCATCCTGCAGTGGCCGCCCTGCCTCCCCTCCGCCGACCAGCTGTGGGACCCGCTGGCTCCCATGCTGCTGCTGGCATGGATCGGACTGCACGCCCTCCTCTACTTGCTGCCGTTAGGGAAGGTACGAAATGTCTACAAAATGTCCACTTGGTTTTGGTCTGTCACGTAAAATCTGAGTTACATCCAGTGAAAATCTGTGGTTTTAATATGATGAAATGCATGTAGCACATGAATAATCAATGATAAACCATTAAGCTGTTTATATTATATTATTTAACTCTGTGAGGTGGTCCTGTTGAATATCCTTGTGGTCGTGATTATTGTTTTGACACGTCTATCAGATCTTTGAAACATTACTACATTGTCCTCAAGTATAATATTTATATCCATTTCTATCATATCTATTTGCATGCAGGTTTCTGAAGGATTAGCTCTGAGGGACGGAAGCCGCCTCAAGTATCCCATAAATGGTATTAATCAGCTTCCTTGTTGATCAACAGTTTTTTAAAAAGAAATCTCTTTGTCTAAATAAAGTGTGATGTTTTATTGTTCTACATCACCAGCTGTTATGATTCATATCTCCTGGTACGACACTTTGCTCACGTTTGAACTGAAGTTTACTTTAGATAAACATCTCTGTCAACTTTTAGCTGCTTTTTTTTGTGTTTTTTTTAATGCAGTCCTCCGTCTGTTTGCTCTCCCTGGGGCTCTAACATTTAGCTTTGGTTGTTCTCCTCCCTGAGGTTTCCACAGCCTGTGCATCAGCGCCGTGTTGCTGTCGGTGCTGCTGGCGCTCGGTGCTCCTCTTGGATATCTGTGTGAGCTGCTGGTGCCGCTGGCGGTGTCTGCCGTCGCCGTGTCCTTCCTGTCCTCCGTCTACCTCTACATCCGCTCTTTCTGGGCCCCCTCCCATGCTCTGGCCCTGGGGGGAGACACAGGTGAGAAAGCGAGCTTTTCACCATGCAAAAAGCGGGGAAGTCAACACGAAAGCGCTGTGTAAACACGGCCGGTGGCTACGCACTGCGCATTCGAACGCCCGTTTGTTGGATTGTGGGATGTTTTTTTTTTTTTTTTTTTTTTTTTGGTTTTCCTGGGGGGAAATATCCAAGAGCCCCCGGGCCGGGCGGGGGTTTGCGGGCATCAGAATCAA